GGATGGATGGATGGATGGATGGATGGATGGATGGATGGATTGATGGATTGATTGATTCTTCCTGATGCTAGCTGGTGTTGGTATCCATTTGCTGCTTATGTTGTTCCATAAAATAATTTCTATACAGTCAACCTACCTTAGTGTGTGGTGTGCGAAATTGATTCTGTGTAGCTGATAACCATCATAATAGTAAATTTACCTCTTAAGTTGTAAACAAATTGAAGAATCAAAACTAAGTCTGGGTTTTGGTAGAACCTTTAAAATCGATATCGAATTAAAACTTTTGTTTTCATTGGGTAAAAAGTAGAAAGACAAATATTTGTAAATATTTGTTATCATGCCTGTGTAAACATATGAAAGTGACCTCACATTTCTGAGCATATAAACATTACAAGTGACTCATTATCAAGAACCACTTACCATGAGTATAAAAAATGTTCTGAGTAAACATTGCAAATAAGATGCTGGTAAATTAATCTTGAGGATTTCTATTCTCCTCGAACTGATATAATGGATAAAAAAGCACTTTCATAACGCATTTCTGGATATTAGTGCAGATTTAAACACAACTTACAGTATTGTGTACATAATTTTAGTGCATGTTAATCCCTGCATGGCAGAGCTTGGTTAAGGTTTGGAGGTAAATGATTTCTCAATTTGCTTTTGTTTTGAGACAACATATTGAGACAGGATGTTAAAGCATCCACATATCATATCATATTTAGTGGCTGTGTTGTTTGATCTAATTTGGCCATTACTGAGGTGCTTAAAACGGTAAATGAATACGGAGCGCCCCCACAGATCAGGAGGTGAATAAAGGAGCTATAATGGTTCTTCAATTATTTTACCAGCTTTTTTTTTCTATAGTACTGCATAATTGTACTGCACAATGCAATGTTTTGGACATAGTTTTCTGCACTGCATTTATTCTTCAAATGTGTAAAATTCTATATTTAAATTCTATCTGTTTTTTTTTTCTCATAACAATAGATGATGATAGCACACCTGCTTTAGCTCATGGCAGGGTTTGGCTAAAGGCTGATTTATACACAGAAACCAGGTCGTCTGCGTGTGTGTCGCAGTGAACACAAATGTGCTCCTGCACCTTCTGCAGACACACTGCTGCACCTCTCCAGAATTGTAGGTGACCGCAGACAGTGCCACAGACAGGAGGCCTCTGATTGATCAAATCTACATCCACTCTACATGCAAATTTCCTGTTTGGTACCTTACCGGCTTGTTTTGTTTGTATGACCGCCATTGTGGAAAACGACTCGTGAAGATGGACCCGCTAGAAGAGCGAGGTGCGCGAGAACGCTGGGACCCTTTTTCCACCTGGATCCCTGCTTTTTTCGCCCTCATGTCCCTCCGTTGTCGGACAAACTTGCCCCCACATCCTCACCTCCTTGGCCATATCTAGACCCACAGCTAGTTTCTGATTGTCTCTCTTGCGTTGTGGTGTGGAATAACATAGCACAGACCACGCTTCAATATTGGGCATTAATCAAAAATATCTGCGACGAGTTCACTGCGAAACACTGCTGTGGGAGGATAACCAGAGTGAAAGCTTGTTGTTACTGATATTGACAGCATCCTACCGTCACCATAACATTAGGGTCCTATAAGAAACTGCATATTGTTGAATTAAACTTTGTTCATTTAGCCCTAATATCTGCATCTTAAACTGATAAGTTTCTGCGTGGTCCTTTAACATGAGGGCATTGAATTTGGTGTTAACCACAGCATGGGAACCCTGAGACCAGGATTGTCATGTTTCTTCCTTGTGGGCAGGCATATAGAAAATGAAATCAGCCTCCCAGTAAAGCTTGTCAGATAAGGAGAAAACTAAGAACTCCTGGTAGATGGCTGTTTAGAAAACATAGCTGACCAATACCAGCAGATGGCGCTGCAATTTTAATCATTACTGATTGTGGAAATATCATTGTTGAACATAATCACTCTACTCTTCTTTTCTACCTTTTGGCACCCCTTTTTTTTAATTAAGTGCCAAATTTATTTCATCTGAAGTTGCACCTTTGCACCACCGAGCAGCAGCTTAGTCCTCACATTTATCATTGTGCAGAAGTAAGACATAAGACATGTCCACAACCAGATTTGAAGCGAATTATAAGAAAAAATCTATATGTGTTTCCATCTGTTGGAGCAAAATAACCAGATGATGCAAAGCGTGATGTCATCACATGCTGCAAATGTTGATGGAAAAGCGTTGATGAAAACACCCCCATAGTGACTTGCCACAAGGAAGACAACAGCCCGTTGTATCGTAGTGTTTGGCAATTCTTGGGTCAGCTAATCTCCAACCCCGTTCTTAAGGCCTGAACACACCGAAATCTGATTTTGCGAAGAGACAGACACTTTTACAAAGTAAAACCTATCCACTTTGGGGAAAAATACAAAATCAAATCTGTTAAAATGGGTGCCACCATGAAAGCACAGATCATTCTGAGTTCACCGTCTTTAGCGAGCAGTTATTGAGCGAGCCCCTCTCCAGCGTAACACTGACAGCGGGTCAGACGCCACAGCTGCAGTCAGAGAGAGGTGCAACTCTCCTCTGTTCTCCCCATTAAAAAGCAATCACACATTCGCTGATCCCCCCAAAATTAAAAAGCAGGATGTAAATATAATATCTGGTAGTTTTTTTTAATGTTTTCTTTAAACCCATTGCACTGAAAAATGTCACCCTGACATTTAACAAAAATCTGAATTGAACTTCATTGATCTGACACTGCAGAAATTCATTCCCTGCATTTAACCCATCCCCTTGGGGAGCAGTGGGCTGCCAATGTGGGGCCCCTGGGGAGCAGTGTGGGGTTAAGGGTCCTGCTCAGGGACCCACAGTGCAGGCTGTGGGGATCTAACCGGGTACTTGCAACCTTCTCTAACCAATAGTTCAACAATCCAATGAACTCACACAACCTCATCCTCACTCTGTCTGTTTTATTCAATTTGATAACAGATGATTGATCTTTGTAGTTTTACTTCAGGTTGAAATAAACTAATTGAACACCAGAAATTATTTCATAAAGTTCATCTTGAGTTTTAATCATATTTAGAGTATTTTTATCCAATTTCTGTTTTGCCGGTGTTGATTTTCCTGTGGCTGGATCAAAGCATTACCAAATAGGCAAACTATGCAATAAAATCATCTGATGACTTTTTAGGGCAGCTAATAGCGACTTTCTTTGCTGAGGAGTCAGCAACAGCATTTAGTATTTAACTGCTCGTAGTTTACCTGCTGCTAATATTCCCAAACAAAATAGTTCAACAGATCTGGTCAAACTTACCTGCCAAATTCAATTCACAACAAGCAAACAATACCGACTATTTATTAAGACACAGGAGGATTTTTACGGGCATCATCCTGCACCAAATCAACAAAGAAAAGTTCGGCAGAGATTGCACCGTTTGTCTCTCAGACCCCGAGACACTTGAACACCTGTTCCTGCGCTGCCCTAGCCGCAGCATCTTTTGGGACAAGATTGGCGAAATCATGGAAAGTTTGGAACCGGGCATCAGCTAAGGAAACAAAGAGTGGGACTGGATAAGACTTTTTGGAACACAGAAAAAAAGACAACACTTTTTTCATCTTCATACCTTGAGCAATATAATCCTTTCTCTCGCAAGGCACTCAGTATACATTTGCAGGAACTATAAACTTTTTGAAAAGAAGTCACTGGATAGGACTTCTTGAAAATCACGGGAAAACACTCACAAGCATCGACAAACAACTTTCTCAGGACATTTTTGGACTGCTTAGTAAATGCAAATATTTTCAGGACTGGACAATTTGATTAATTTTTGTGCATAAACATTCATTTTTTCACTGTAGATAATTAAGAGGGAAAGTATTTTTGTTGATATGGGTTTGTAATGAGTTTCTTTTTGTAGTTTTTTTTCCTTTGGTGTTTCTGTAAACAAATAACAATGTTTGATTGTTCTTTTTGTTCACTATATAGTTGCACCTATTCTTTTAAATTGATTTTTTTTCTAATAAAAAAAGAAAAAAAAAGAAAAGAAAAAAAGGAGGTGTCTGGTTGACAGTTTTCCCCATAAGTAGGTTGGCCATGAAAAAAAGTTTTTGTTCTTTTTTAGAATCCAATCTCTGTGTGTGTATTGAACGATTTTCACTTTTTGATTTTTTTTAATTACTGAAATTAACTTTTGATAATATTGTTCTATGTTGAGATACACTTTAAAAACCAGACAGGACTAAAACATCTTTTCTCATTCTTTTTTTTTTTTTCTTGCTTCCAATCAGCTTTTCCTGCAGTACTTGGAGTTCCTTTACTTGCGCTATTCCACCGACAGTTTCCCACAAACACACGGCTACAGATCGCCCACTTTAAATCAGGTAATAAAGCTGCACACTCTGGTGCAGAAAGGTTGCTCTTATATCCTGCAGGTATTAATTGTAAACCAAGATATATGTCTAAACAAAGCAGTGAATGCAACGTATCAGATTTGATCACAGCTTAAAATGTAATTAATTTAAAATGTATTTTCTTACCTGTTGAATACAGATCATGGATTGGGTATGCATGCTGCTGGACGCCCATTTCACCGTGTTAGTCATGACGCCGGTGGTCAAAAGCCTGCTGTTGAACTTCCAACATTTTGTCAGATCCCAGGTAAGCATCCATCTTTGCTGTTGTTTAATGAATCCTTGTTCGATTTGGAGAAAACTGTAATCTACAGATTTCCTTCCTTTTTTTTTTCCAGGTGAGGCTGTTTTCTGAGCTGGGAAAGATTGAGGGCAGCCTGCAGGAGCTCAATAACATGAAAAGGACGAAGGACGTCGGACAGTACTCCATTGAAATCATTGAGCTGTACTAGAAGCTGCAGAAATCAGTTCCCCTGGACTGAATGTTTTTGGTGGTTTTGTAAACCACTTTCCTTCCTTAAATGGTTTCTACCTTCGATGCTTCCTGTCATATAGGATTTACTGTGAATGAAAAACTTTCCATCTGGCATTCTCATTGCTTTAGTTGCAGATGTCTAACAATTCCTCTGCTCAGTGGTTTTTAGATGGTGGGGTTGTGACAGATACACAGAGTTTGCATGTTTAAATCATTTTCTGCTCATAGGCCCGATAGTCTTATTGATAAGTTCAAAAAAAAGTTTCCTCATGCAATGTCATGATATTTTTTTAATATACATTATTAAAATATGAATAATGCCTTCAACATTTGGTCCTTTTTGAGTGTAATAACAGCTGAAAAATTGTAAATCTCTTATGTCACTGTATTTTACACATAAAGGCGTATATGTTGTTTATAAATATATAAGAATAGCAGTTGTTCTACGTGTGGCATTTTTGTACTGTACAGCAGTCATTTAAGTTTAGTTCAACCATGCTGCCTTCTATTGGTAAAAGGTACTTTGTATGCATAGCAATGATTGTTGGGTGGCTAAAAATAAGGAGTAATAAAGATGCAGATATAAATGATTGGGAACAACAACCTAGTTAGTCCCCTACCTTCAAATTAATCAAAATAAATTTTCTTTATGTACAATTACATCTATTAAGCTTTGCTGCAGCTCTAGAGAATCCAAATAAAAACTTGCAAGATGAATTTGATAAACAAATTAATAAATGCAGCAGAAGCAGCGATCAGATGATCTGACCAGAGGCTGAGGGGTTTAGAGAAGTACTATTTATTCCAATTAAAGTGTTGGAGAGATTAGGATGCTTTTTGGGGGGCTGAGAAGAGTTTGATTCTACTGTAAACAAAAATCTGGTGAATAACTTCAGTTCTGATTTTGAAGATGTAGATAAATTGCCTTGCAAATCTATCCACATCCATTGTACTTTCTGAGATCTGAACAAAAACTAAAGTTTTTTTTTTTGGCTTTAAACAGAGTAATGCATAATGGTGAGTTATAAAATAAGGCCCCTCTGAATCAATAATTCATAGAATCGCTGTAATTAGAGCTGCATGGCTTCCAGGAACTTTTTCAAAAACAAACATTGGGGCTTATCAGTGGAAACTTTGGTCATTTTGAAAATAATAAAACGGATTAAACTAATTTGATGGAGAATAGATATTAAGACAAATGTTGAAATTGTTTAAATTTAACCACAAATGCCTGATTGCATTTAGATGTTGACTCAGCTGATTTAAGTCCATTAAAACACTTGATCCAATGCAGTTCTGGCTTCATTTGAAGGGTCTGTGTCCTCTTGTGTGAGGTGAATCTTTTTCCTCATCCTAAAATTATTATTTTTTCACGATTGTAAGCTATTTTTTAGCCAGTTAACCATCAATTCAAACTGCTTCTTTGTCTTTGTTGGAGTAAATTAACCTCACAGCACGATGCTATGTTTTACAGTGATTGTTAAGACTGTCATCTAGTTAAAGAAAATGTAGTTGTTTAAAAAATGTATTATCTGAATATAGTGCTGTCCTCCATGTGCTTGCTCTGTCCTCAAAAGTTTTGTTTTTTGGCAAACTTTAGGCATCTGATAGCTTTCTTTTGCCTGACTTTTATCAGATTTGAGGAAGCAGATGAAAGAGTTGTCCTGCTGATACAGCTTATCAGTTTGAATGGATTTAAATAGGTTAGGGAGTTTCTAATTGGGCCAAACTCTTTCCATTTTTTAGGCTGAATAACTCTCTGTGACCGTTAACTAATGATGGGACTTCTGGGGCATTGATTGGTTTTCTTTTAAGATTATCAGGGCAATGAGGACAACATTTATAAGCTTTTTTTTAATAGTTTTTGAATAAAAAAAAAAAATATGTCAGCCTTATACCCTTTCACTTTTACTTCAAATTCTATACTACTTTGGGTTTTCCTCTCACATACATTCCTGATAAAGTGGTATTTACAGTTTTAACTTGGCAAAAAATATAAAAATTAAAGGTATTTTAATAGAGTTGCAAGGTACTCCTAAGCAATTAACTTTTTAAATATTTTTTTGCATGGATGTTCTAATTTAATCATATAATTTGAGGTTTTCGTTATTTGAAAACCATTATCAATACTAAAAGAAATGCTTAAAAGCGTTTTGTCTTACCATGAGTACCCCCCCTCCCCCCTCAGTGACTACAATAACTGATTATAGTATTTTATTAAAAGTCATAGAGAAGTCATATTCAACTTGAGAATTTAAATTTTGGCATGTTCTTTCCAACTTAAATATATAATATAAAATATAATATAATATATATATATATTTAAAAGAGTCTAGTCTAATATAAATTTAATAAAAAAACAGCATAAAAATGTTGCCCTAAAGCTAGTTCGGTATCAAAATAAAATAAAATCATTCTACCTTTACAAACTGGAGCTACTCTGAGTAACTCACATTTTCACTTGAGGAATTGAGAACAAAATACTGAACAAAAATTATAGTCAGACTGACTCCATTTTTTTTTTACTTTGTTTTGATCATTCATGACACCTAAGCTTGCTTTGATCAGGTGTGGGCAAGCAGCTGATACCAGGATGTTCCTCTGCTTGGTTTTGATAAGTGTCACACTGGGAAAAAATTAAATTAATTGTATTTACCCTTAATTTGAGTTAATTTGACTTATTTTTACTCTTAAAATATTTAAATAAATAAATAATTAGATAATTTGCAGTTGAAATAAGACAATGCTATTGTGTTTTCTTATTTTAAGTGTAAATTGTCTTGTTCCATTGGCAAAATCAACGGCATAGGTTTGATTTCAACTTTGGTAGGGACACTATTGGTCTGATGTCATTGGTCATATGCAAAATTATGCATGCTCATTTTTTTATGCTTGACGTGAAAGTCAGGGTGTATTTCATTTAAAGAGAAAAGCAGCAGTTCTTGCTACATTTATACAAATTTTATAAGCACTACACAAACTAGATGCTGTTTATCAATGAATGAAGCTTAACTGGCTCTGATGAATCAGGAATTAGGACTTTTTTCCACTTTGAGAAGATTTGACAAGACAGTAGGTAAATTTGTGCCTATTTAGCAGAATGTATCATGAAACAAAGTGAAATATTAGATTCAAGGGACGCCAAATAAAATGTACTGTATTTACATGTGCACTAGAACTAGAAGATGAACTGACACTGAGCATTTAATATATTAACTTCACTCTACAAGTTGTACATCTAGGCTGTAGTTACTCTGTTTAACCCATTTCATGTATTTTATTTAGGGCTAAAACAATTCACCGGATTAATACATTTTTGAAACAATGTCAACAAATGTAGTAATCGATTAATCGTTAACTGGACTTTAGAGAAACGAAAACATGTCTTTAGCTCGAAAAACAACCCACTTGGAGCAAGAATTTTACCAAAATTGTAAAAAATAAATAAACATTTTGCAGTTTAGATAAAACATCTTTTCGTCTTTCAATATTCTCCATCCAGAACTCCTATACTGCTACAACAATGTTGTATTGTAAATTATAAACATGTTCTTCACATGTAATTGTTGGTAAGGACAAGTAGGTCGGTCCAAAATTTTGGTAGGGACATGTCCCTATGGTCCCTATGCAAACCTAGGCCCATGGGCAAAATGTCTCTTTTGCCTTCTCAATCCAAGAACAAATGCACTTGTTTTAAGAAAAAAATGGCTTATTTAGATTTAGATTTTTTCCAGAGCAAAGCTGAAGGTGAACTGAAATAATATAAGAAACAGTTACTTTTTGGTTGTTTAATTTCATTCTTTTATTTTTTATTTTTTTTTTTGGTTCCTCACAAAGTAGAAAATATACCAGCCCTGTAGATTTTTTTTTTTTTTTTTTACCTGAGAAATAAAATATACCCACTATAACAACCTCCTGTTTGGTATCTGTAAAACAGGACCAAACCATTCCTTTTTTTTATGTATTAACCTTATCTACCTAGCTCTGTATAGTACAAGCAGGCTAAACTTTTTTTTTTTATTTAATGTATTTGTAAACGTATATTTTAAAATAAATCATATTTTGAGGAATCTCAAGTAATGTTCGGAGTGAGCACCCCCGCTCTTAAAAGTGGACCTTTCCAGCTCTCCCCTCTGTCAATCAAAAAGAGCAAAAATTGATTCCGAATTAGCGATTTTTCGGTGGAACAACGCAGGTGGCCAGGTTGGTAAATATTAAAGTGTTCAATTCGTTTACTTTTTAGGCTTGCCACTCATAATTTCTGTATTAGGTGTGTTCGAGCTTGAGCACAATTTGTTTATTTTTTTGCTATCTAACTTTTGCGGTTTTGCTAATTAACGTTCGCAAACCTGAACGCCATTTTGTTTAAGTAACTGAACTGCTAGGCTAGGTTGACTTTTAAGATGGGTTTTTCTATGGGCAGATATTTTAATTCATATTTTTCATTGGCCTTTTTAAATTCGTTTCGTAAATCTATATAGTATGTTATCAATAGGTAATTAAAAGATGTGAAAACTAGATTTGACCAGGGTTGCCACCTCGCAGAAATGGAAACAGGGCTGCCAACGTTTCACCAAACTTTGGGCTGATTTAGAAACATTTTTGGCAGGAAACCCTGTCAGGGTTAGATGAGGATGGGTGCAGCTATAGGTTGGAGGTTTTTCAGAGGATTTAACTTAACAATAAGACTGAGTAACAATCAGTTAACTGTAGTTATGTGGAACATTTTTCTCACAATATACATTATTTTCTTCATTCTGGTGATTTTTAGAGAATTAAAGTAAAGCAGAATGGCCCCTACTAAAATACTTGCATCTAAAATATACTTTAAACTAAGAATTTTACAACTTTGTTCATTAATTATTCTCTGCAGTTCAAGTAAATTAAACAATGGGGAACTAATAAGCTATTACTGGATTACTGACACTGATCCAGGAACCAGAGCAATCGACACCTATGCAAACTACACTGTGTATGAATATTTGATAATATTCTAAGGATTAAAAAGCTTAATTCATTATTTTATTTATTTTTCTTACAATTGACAAAACAGCAAAAAAAACAAAAAACAAATCAGACCTTCTAGGAGGCTTTTTTATTTTATAAAAACTCACCATTACAGGAGACAGCACTTTTCTGGATGTTTCAGTTTGGAAGGTGTGATGGAAAGTTTTTAAACATATTAAATAGACCAAAATAACAATAAATGAATAAGACAAGTAATAATAAAAGAAGAAAATCCCTGTGGTTTATCCTCTATGAATCCTGGATAACGGAGTTATTCTGCACATCCTCTCTGGATGTGTTGGTCTTTTTTTGGGTGGCTGATCTTAAAAAAAAAGTAAATGCAATGGTTCTTACTAGTGTTGTCACGATACTAAACTTTTCAACTCGATACCGATACTAAGTAAAATATTCGATACTCGATACCCTTTTCGATACCACAAGAATAAAAACAAAGACTATAAAATTCAATAGAAATATTTTCATTAATAAAAAAATACAAGAAATAAATAAAAAACAATAATAATAATATTTTGAGGTTGTATGCTGTGCACAATATTAAGCAAGTGTTACAAGTGCATTTTCCGCTATTCTGCACTTTAGATGGCTGTATCGATACTTTTGAAAATGAGTATTGTATCCGGATACAACGTTTCAGTATCGATACTTTTTTGAATATCGATACTTTTGACAACCCTAGTTCTTACTCTTTTTGTTAACCACCTATGAGTCTGAAAGACAAACCTGAAAGCTTTAAGAATTAAAATACTTGTGTTTGTATAATTACTCCTAAATTCCAACGGGAGATATTAAACTAGAATGAGCATTACTTAAAAATGCATAAAGGCAGGATCCTAATCTTAATGAACTGACTGCACAGGTTAAGTTTTCAGGTGGACTTTCTCACTTTAAAATATTTTAAAACTACTATTTAGCCACTTATAACAGTAAAAATAGCAATGCCGCTATCTGCCACTAAACACAGAAGCAGTAGAAGCATCAGACGCATCTGACCTGATTATTTGAAAGCTAACACCCTCTAGTTTCCTAATATATAAATTAAAATTGGGTGACTAGAACTCAGACCAACCTGCATCAGTTCAAACATAACAGGACCTTCAAATTTATTTCACATTTTTTATGCTTGCTTGCCTGTGGAAGCGCTGTTTTTGTATTGGGACATTTACATTCTTGAAAATACCAGTGCAAGTGGTAAAATGTTAACTGTCAGGATAGACTTTTATATTTCTAAGTGGTGGTTGAAACATGTTTTGCCATATAACAATTCCTTTTTACCATGAATAGGATCCGGAAATATGAATCTCATTTACATATCCACAAAAGAGTTTTTTCCCATTTCGCTAATTTCTTTATAGTTTATCATTTCAATTTGTTATCAAAACTTAGTCCTAGTAGTTTTATCAAGTTAGGAAGGTGAGTTATATACACTTGTTTAGAATAGAAATTGTAAATAGTAACACTGGAGGTCACTTGTGTTAGCTGTGCAATCTTATCTGAAAGTATCACTTTTAAAAAAATAAATTAAGACATTGAGGACATCAGCTTCGTTGACGTATAGTTGGTGCAAAATATAACCATCCCTGAAATGCTACTATGGGGTTGTGCGTGTATGTGTGTGAAAGTGCAATATCGGTAAATATCAGTTATCGGCCTTAAAAGCAATAATACCGGATATTGATATCAGACCAAAATTTCATATTGGTGCATCCATAGTAATTATATTGATTGAACAGTATTTCAAAATCACTTCATCGCTTCATGTAAGATGTTTGCTAAATGTAATTACATGTTAATCAGAAGTGAGTGATTAAACCTTGGTATTTTGTTAATCGGGAAAGAAAAAATGAAAAGTTCGTTGTCGGCAGGATTCGAACCTGCGCGGGGAGACCCCAATGGATTTCTAGTCCATCGCCTTAACCACTCGGCCACGACAACTCACACTGAAGGGTGTGTGCTGATCAATTTTACCCGTAGACAAACGGCATCAACGCTGCATATTTAGTTGTATTGTTGTTGTTAAATATTGTTAGTGAATATTGGTTTGTGAAGTGATAATATCTATCTCATGCCCTGTAAGAACTGTACGTTTTCACCTGGTCCTTTTACTTCACAAAAATATATGTGATTTCAATCTGTATTAAGAAAAGGAAAACTAAAGTGACTGTTTAGGAAAGAATAAACTAATGGATAACAATTTGAATGTCACAAACTTTAAATTAAGTCCCATAAATCCAGAGCTCGATGGTTCGTTTCACCCTGAGCAACATGGCGTCAGGGAGGAAAACAAAAGATAAGGGATTAGTGGAGTAAATAATCTACAACAGAGCATCCCACCTGTGTTTACATCTACTCACACGGGCATACCAAAAAGCCAGCTAAGTGCACTTAGCGTATGCACGGATAAGTAATTTTATGAACTACGGCGTCTGCTGTAGAATATGGTCACGTGACCGCGTATTTATTTAGGTTTAAGAGCGTCAAGCTAGAGGTGAAAATCACTCCTCCGGAAGTGCTTAAATAAACCTATTAAAACTAAATGGGTTCATTTCTTTAATCAGATAGTTTTAAACTATATGACTGGTAATGGCTTGTTCACTTTATTTTAGTCTATGTTGAATAACACACTATGATATTTGAATGATTATAATCAGTACTTAGTCGTTTAAAGGTAACGCGTGTGCTTCCGGTGTGGACGTCACTGCTTGAGTGTAACTTTACGGAGCTTTGAGGCCTGCTGTGTTTTCAACGGAGGGAGAGTCGAGAAGAAAAATGGCGTCTGCAGGCGACTCGGAGCGGGACACCGGCCATTCAGTTTGAGCTGCCCACCTTTGAACTGAGACCGGGGCTCTGTGGGGACCAATTAGGGACAGTCGCTTGACACTATATTTAGTTTTCCCCCATTTTTCTCCCGTGTGCGCGGCTTCTTCGAGCACCGAAATTGAAGCGGAACATAGGAGCCTCTCTCCTACAATGAGGGGGAGAAGAGGAAGGCCGCCCAAACAGGCAGCCGCGATGCGGGAAAGCTCACCCGGGCCAGTCCGGGGCTCCCGGGGCGGCAGGAGCAGAGGGATGCGTGGACGGGGGAGAGGCAGAGGACGAGGTCGAGGGAGGGGAGGAAACGGCGCGGTTTGCAGCATTGGATCCATGGAGGTGGATACAGATATATCCGGCCGAGATAACTTTCATTCGTCGCGGGGCCGTAGGAAAGTTGGAGCCTCCGTCGCGGCGGCTTCAGCGGCATCCCGGGGAAGAGGCAGAGGTAGAGGGTCCAGAGGTGGCCGCGGCAGCAGAGGCGGAGTGAGGCGACCTCAAACTAAGGTGGTCTACGACGACAACAGCGATGAGGAGGAGGATAATATAAGCTACCGGTCCGACGAAGACGAATTGAACGACAATCCGTCGTCGGATCTAGAAGATGAAGAGGCCTTGGTAAACGACTCTGACTATTTGGAGGACCTACCAGATGATGAGGATGCCAGCTACTGTACTGAGAGCAGTTTCAGAAGCCACAGCACGCTCGGTAGCACCCCAGGTACGTGGGTCTGCAAGTGCACACCGTGCAGCAAAGCACATTTGCAGCAGCTTCTTATTTTTAGCTCAAAACAGAAACGAAGCGGCATTTTTCAAAATGGAGCTGGCAGTCAGAAACAGGCCTTTGTTTACCGTGGGCTCTCCTGTCTTTGGGGATCTGATCCATGTTGCAGGGGGCTTCTATTTTTCCAACTTTTGTCAATTCAGCACATGTTTGTTTTTGTTTTGAAACGTACTCGTGTTGGTTTTACTCAACATCTCCGCGCGCCTTGTCTTCATTTTGTTTACATGGGTGAATGGACGGAATACATAAACTATCAAAATCGTTGTTATTTCATTCGTCGAAATTTCTATTTTTGGACACAGTTTGTACATTTGGCGTTATCCCTAAGTTCAATTTCACTGTATGGAAAAAAACGGTTCTTAATGCAGCTTTAGTTTTATCACTAATAGCTTAACAGGTAAAAATGTTTTCGTCATGTTTTTGTTTTCGCTGTCTGTACAAACTGTCACCAAGTCACTTTTAGATTACTTTCTCCCTTTATAAAGACTGCTGGATTCTAGACCTAGTTTATGTAAAGAAAAAATACATATTTTTGTTAAAAAGTAAAATGAAGCGGCTCTCCGTTACCATAGTGACAGGGGAAAGCTTTTCCACGTGGTCTTTAATGGACACTTGGGTTGAATGCTTTGCAGCATTCCTCTATTTTGTAATCTTGTTTTTATATTTACTAATACAACTTTTGCAGGTTGATCCACATCTTGATTTGATTCTGCATCAAATCAAGTTTCTGCAAGTTTCTCTGTGATATCAAGTTAATTTATTTTATTTTATTCCGGCACATTTATTTGATATATACTATTAGAATGTAATATTTCACTACCTTCTGGTCAAGATTGGATGCTCTTTAAATGGGTTAGCAATTATGCACATTCCTTTTCACTTCCAACATGACCTGTTTAATTTAATTTATCTTCAGTGTTTAGTGAAGATAATTTATCTTCAGAAAATTGTACTTTTTTTTCCAAAGTAGAAATACAGACATTGCAATTGTTCTTTATTCACACCAGTGACAGATTTAGACTTATAATATAATTTTAAATGATAAAACCTGTTTCATTTGAATGAATATTAATGTTATAAAGTGACCCAGTCAGAGTCCCGTCTATAGCCTCAAGCGAAAACCTCAGAGCTAAAGGTTAGAATGATAGTAAGGTGACCTGCAACATTCAAAGAAGTGGAGGTCATGACTAAAGATAAAGGGTCTGATGCATGAAGATGGGAAAGTTTTTCAGAAATTATAAGAAGCCCTCTTTTGTTGCAATGCCATAATCGCCTTTGTTGATGTTATTGGTTGTTAAACTTGGTTATGGTTTGTGATTACTGAAACTTTGGTTTTTGCTTTATTTTGCATATTTTACATTTTGTTTTAGAAAGTAGTAGATAATGACATAGACAATGATTTTGTTTTTGTAGTTGTCTGGCATTAATTCTCTGCTCTGGTCTGTAAATCTTCTTAATAAAAACGGTAATCCAGCAGGCGCTAAGTTGATAAAATGAGGTGTTAAATTAGCTCAGCTCTTTGGTAACACTGTTGATCAGGGCCTTGACTTGGAATATAATTAATAAGAAATATTTGGCTGTTTTTAATAATGGTGATATGATTTTTCTATATCTGGAAAGTTCTGCTCTCACATCGTGTTGGATATTATGAAGTGACTCAGTTTTGTTATTTTATTATTATTACTATTTGTTTGTTGATAAAAGTAAGCCAGGAGCCTTTATATATTGCAGTTGGTTATTATGTTTTTCTTTGGTTTCTATTGTCTAGTACCATCCTTCTTCCTTCCTGACTCTTTTCTTTTTACTCTTTGCAGGTCGTAAAAGGACTCGTGCTCTGCGACCACCCTCTCCCCTTCTTGAAGCGAAGGACATTCCTCCCTTGGAGCTTCCCAAGACCTCTGAGGACCTTCTGGTTCCTACCTCACAGCTTCTCAATGTGTCTGCTGTCTACGAGGTCCTACGCAACTTTGGCACAGTGTTGCGTCTCTCCCCGTTCCGTTTCGAGGATTTCTGTGCAGCCCTGGCCAGCCAAGAGCAGTGTACATTACTGGCAGAGACCCACATCTCTTTGCTCAAAGCTATTCTCAGAGAGGAGGACACGTCCAACACCACATTTGGTCCTGCTGACGTGAAGGACTCTGTTAACTCTACGTTGTATTTTGTGGATGGTATGACCTGGCCAGAGGTGGTGCGGGCTTACTGCGAGAGTGACTCAGAATACCGCCACATTCTGCCCTTTCTTGAGAACGAGGATTATCCCTATGAGACTTTGGAAAGCAAAATCAAAGTTCTCCAGTTTTTGGTGGACCATTTCCTGGCGACTAACATCGCCCGTGAGGAGCTCATGTCGGAAGGGGTGGTTGCCTATGACGACCACTGCAGGGTGTGCCACCGACTTGGTGATCTTCTGTGCTGTGAGACATGCGCGGCTGTTTATCATTTGGAGTGCGTGAAACCGCCTTTACAGGAAGTGCCAGAGGATGAGTGGCAGTGTGAGGTTTGTGTGGCGCACAAGGTGCCTGGCGTGGCAGACTGCGTGCCTGAATTGCAGAAGACCAAGCCCTTTCTTCGACAGCTTCCAGTTGGCTTTGACCGACACCATCGTAAATACTGGTTCCTGAATCGCCGGATTGTCGTGTAAGTTTTTAGTTTTTTGTTAGGATTTAAAGGGTAGATCTCTTGATCTTTCATAGGATTCAGAATTTAGGGTCGCTTTATCTTTGTATAATTTCACTTTGTAAATACATTTTACAGCAATACTTTATTAAATGAAATCAAATACAAAATACTATCAGTTAAGACCCAAGACTGGCAGATTTAGATCTTTAGAATATTCACATTTTATCATAACTGTTTTTGGTCGGTGCATCAAAAGATTCTGCAGGTTGATGTTTTTATAGAAGAAAAATTAGTTTTTTCTTCTAAACGAGTTTTTGCATTTGATGAAACAGACTGATTTGTATTTATTTATTTATTTATTTTTATTTTTTTGACAGTCATCACAGACTAGCTCAAATCAGAAGAAAAAAATGTTAGGTCCTGATTTTTTTTATTTTTTTTTATTTTATTTATTTTTTTTATTCAGTAATTTGGTGCATGCAGTTTGGTGCTAATTACAGTTCTGTAATATAACAACTTTTTCGCATGGTTGTTTTGTCACCCTTTTTCAGTCTAACAATCTCCCTTAAGCCGGGCTTACACTGTATGAGTGTTTTTAACCTTTTTGGGCCAGTTCTCCAGCCGTGCAAAAATTTTGTCGATCGGGCCGACTTTCAGCCTGATCGTGCGTCATGTAGTGTGCAGGGGGTAACAAGAGATGATCGGCCTCACGACAACCTCCTGATCAGGAACCGTGAGGTCGGAAGAAAATCAGACATGTTTGAAATTCAGTTGGCCATCACAAGGTTGCATCAAAGCGTTGGGCCGCACAGTGTGACAACATGCATCGTGAGCTGTGATCTTTTAAACCCTGCAGGTTCATCCTATGGTTTGAGCTGGTTATGCGTGCAATGATTGAAAATATCAAACCGTTTATGTCCGGTTTTATCTGGGAGACTATCCCTCTTTGGAACAAACTGTTTCCAAACTTAAACATCTGTATTAAAGTTCATTACATCATTTAGTGAATGTTATTATGAAATAGAATCAAACTATTCTCACTAATAATTCAGGGGGATTCACAGGCAGGTTAAAGCATTAACTACATTTTCTCGGTGTTCTCAATCTGGAGTCTATAGAAGGTGAAGTTGTGTCTTTGCAATGTTAGGCATGTAAGTTCTTCAAACAACATTCATAGCAGAAATAGGATCTCTTAAATTTCAGGTTGTATCAGAGTATGTTGCAGTGCCTATAATATCAGTAGATATAGGAATGATGATTCATTTTGTGATTATATACCTGTTCAGGATGTAGGAGTTAATCTTGTTCCTGCTGGTTTCCTTGTTCGAGCCCGTGCTTCGTCCACCTTAGTCGTGTCCTTGGTAAAGATACTTTACCTGCCTTGCCTGCTGACAGGATCAGGGGCCCCAGCGGTGCCAGTTGTATGGCAGCCCTGCTTCTGTCAGCGTGTGAATGGCTGAATTACTGAATATGGTGTGGGGCCCTTTGACAGAGCACAAGTATTGGCTATTTACTATACCTCCTTCCACCTTTCTTTTCACTGCTTCCTACACTTTGTGACCTTCCTTGTTTTTGGTTTGTCATTTTTGGTCCAATGTGAGCATCTGATCCAATGGGACTCAGCTCAGCTGGCTAAATGTTAACTTGGCATGTAAAATACAGGTTTATAATAAATTACTTCACTCCAAACAATCCTTATGCTGTAAGGATAATTCATATTTAGGATATATTGTGCAGCCTTGTATTAAACAGAGTTGAGGCTGCTGCCCCTTTTATCATTATTAAGAGAGCAGCAGCATCAATAGCATTTGTTAGGAACAGATTTATGTATATTTTATGTTTATGCTGGTTCAGCAATAGCAGATGACGATCGGAAAAAAACTGAATGATGAATTGATCATTCAAACCAGATAAAATTAAGATTGAGCCTTAAAAACAGGCTGAGATACCAGTTTTCATTCATACTTAAAGATCAACATCTGTATTTACATTATTTATATATATATATATATATATATATATTAGGGATGAAACAGTTTATGAAAACCGTCTGAACCGTGCAACAGTGTGCAAGCATTGTGCAACACGTTTTGTTTATGATAACAGCAACATGACCAACATGTCATGCTAACCCCGAAATCCCACATACTCCGCCAGCGCTCCGCCCCGCTGCGCTCCAGACCGCCTGCACAAAGCAAAGCCTACA